AGGCTTCTTCGAGGAGGGGTGGGTGGAACTGACACTTGGTTAGTTAGGGTTTGTTTGTTTGTTTGTTTGTTTTGTTTTCAACTTAAATACAATTACAGCTCCTGTTTATCAAGAACGTATCTTCTGCTATGCAGTCTACATAAGTAATGGCATGCTTGCTTTTTCTTAATGGTAGTTATGAGTAGTAATTCTAATTCGTCAAGAGTTTGGCATTGAGTTTATATATTTAATCACTGTATAGTCAGTTATTTGTCATGGAAACTTGTGTAAGTAGATTATTCTGCAAGATTCAGAGTTAAGTGACTTACGTTGTGTCATACTGCCAGCAAGTCAGAACTCACTGGTTTTGGTTTTGGCTTTGTTTTTTTTTTGTGTGTGTGTGGTTTTTTTTTGGGCTTTCATTATATGTGGTGTTGTATTATGACAAGTAGCTGTGGGAAACACCGGCCTTTGGAGCTTATGGAGCTTATGACTGGTACCTAAGCATTGTCTCTGGAGAGAGGGGAAGTGTGGATGTGTGGATGTGCAGTGGAACACGCACAGAATTAAGGAAACCTTGAGCCATAGTTGGGTTACTGTGCTTATTACCCCTCCTTTCATACTGTGAGTGCCTCCTGCTGGAGGGTCATAATGCACCTCATGTGCTTGTGAAATAATGCTAGCTTTGAAACAGCCTGTCAGAGGTGGGAGGGCGCTAGCTTCACTGCTAATTATTAACACTCCTTTACGGTCGCTCCCCAGTGAAATTAGGCAGTTCTCCTAATTGACAATAGAATTCACTACTTCATTATTATGTCATTTTAAATTTTGATATGCTTAGTACTTTCTAAAATAAAGTCATTGGAATGTTTTTGCCCAAGAGAAAGTTTGATGGCCCTGTGAGTCATATTGTTATTAAAAAAAAAAAAAAACAAGAATAGAAAGTTGACTTTATTTTGGGAAAAGTAAGTTATTTGAGTAACGATTTTTTTTTTTTTGAGTAACGAATTTTAGAGTCCTTTTTAAAGTAAGAGTCTTGAACCCAAGGGAGCATTATAGACAACCCAAAAGGCAATGTGGGTAAAAATAGAAATGGGGAACGTTATAGACAGCAGGAGGAGTGTGAGTGAAAATAGAAATGCATGTTGGAATCTTTAACTTGGTAAAGACCTCTGGGCGTCAGGAAAGAGCTTAAATAGTGTTTTAGAGAAAAATGGGTAGAATGCTAACTTTATATTTTGCATGTGTTTAGGACAATGAAAAGTGAATACTTTCTATAGTTACATGTCTGGAAGATGTATCCATTGAACATCTTGACAAGTTTGCATTGCAATCAGGTTACCACACTGAGTATCTAGCCCAGAAGTTACCATTCGGTATGTATCATAGGAAAATCGTAGCCTACTTAACTGCTGTATCAATGGATCGAAACATATTTGTGGTTGCACAGATTGTGTGGAACAAATATTTATTGAACAAAAGACTAAAGTCCATTGACAAAATAGGATTTTGCCAAGAAGTAGGCCCTGGCTCTCTCGGTTCCTTGTATCCTTTCTAGATAACCACACACACTGTGACAAGTGGAGTTTTAGAGAGGAAGGGCTGTCTTTAGGATGGGTGATGTTTCTTAAAATACCAATAATGCTCATTGTAAAAACCTTTTCAAAAAGAAAAGTGTTTGTCATCTCACACGGTGAAACAGATACTAGTGATATTTTGCTATACATTTTATTTTGTAAATAAATTGTTTTTTATACAAAGGACTTCCATTGGATTCCAAGCCCCCATGTCAACATTCACAATTGCCTGTAAGTCCAGCTTCAGGAGGTCTGATTACTCTTGTAGTCATGGCCACATGCTCTCTGCACACATAAACACACACACATAATTTTTAAAAATTTAAAAATATATACTTTAGTGTATATATATCTGAAGCTGGTAGTATGTGGATATACTGTCATTGTCCATTTTGCTATTATTGAACACTGAGGTTTGTTTATGGCTATTCTGTTTGTTCTGTAAATAATGGTAGAAGGCTTAGTTACTTGTTTTGTTGCAAAGTGAGGGTAGAGAATATACTTTTTGTGTAATATTTATCTAGGACCTAATGTTTTGTTTGTAAACTAGTCTTAAAAATGCATCTGAGAGCTGATGAGATGACTCACTTGATAAGTACGTACGTGTCTCTCACTTGATAAGTACGTACGTGTCTCTCAGGCATGAAGACCCGAAAAAGCCCAGAGCCAGGTGCATGTCTCTGTAACCTCAGCATTGGAGAAGTAGACCTAATGCTTTCTTGGAGCTTGCTTGCTGGCCAGCCTAGCCAATTTGGTGAGCTTTCAGTAAGAACCCTTCCCCAGAAATGAAAGTGGAGAGAGACAGTTGAGGAAGACACCATATATGATGACCTCTGGTTTCCACATGCATGTCCACTTTTCTAGTGGAATAGATCTTAATTTTAAAAAATCATTCAAAATGCTTTCTGATAGAGGATAGTTTGTCAAAAAAAAATCAAAATTTAGCAAGGCTATTGTTTTCATGCATAAAAATCATATTCTCTGTGTGTGTGTGTGTGTGTGTTATTTGCATACGTATTATTCCATAAAGTAGATGAGATGGCCAAAACAAAGAGCCCTGACACTCTTCCAGTGTGCCTGAGACTGCCATTCCCAGAGCCCCGACACTCTTCCAGTGTGCCTGAGACTGCCATTCCCAGAGCCCTGACACTCTTCCAGTGTGCCTGAGACTGCCATTCCCAGGGACACAGAGCAAAGTCACAGTTTGCCTTTGTCTGAGAAGCCCATGGTTGACAGGGAGGCAGATGTAACAATGACTAGGATAAGCTATGCTAACACAGATCTACACCTGTGCAAGGGATGCAGCAGCGCCGAGTCTGCCATCACTCTGCCTCTCACTGTGTTCCATCCCATTCTCAGCAGCATCCACGAAACGTACAGAAGCCTGTCCAACCGTGCTAAGTTTACTAGTGACTGACTCTCCATTTAATTCCTAGACTTGTGTGTGTGTGGACTGGATCTGACCCTGTCACTGACAGGAGCATGTGCCTGCTGGAGCACACATAGCAAAGAGCCATAGCATTGGAGGCCGCACTGTTAGCAGAACGGCTACTCTTCCCCGCCCCACCCACGGGGAAGGGCTGTCAGCCTTCCCTGATCTTAAAGTTGTATCATACAATTGTTGTTAGAATTAAATGGGAGTAAAACATCTTTATATAATCATTATGCACATTGTAAGTATTCAATAAACATGTAACAAGAAAGAAAAAAATCAACAAACGTATAATGAACTTTACAAAGACATGAAAACTGCTTACCAAGATAGATGCCATGGTTCCCATTTGGTTTTTTGTTTTGTTTTTTAAATTTTATTTCTTAACTATTTTTTTTTTATGTGCATGGGTGTTTTGCCTGCATGTGTGTCAGAGTACCAGATGCATGCAGTCCCCAGGAGGGCCAGAGGACAGCGTCAGAGCCCTCTGGAACTAGACTTTCAGAGCTGCCATGTGGTCCTGGGAGTTGGACCTCGGTCCTCTGGGAGAGCAGCCATGCTCTTAACTGCTGCAAGTTCAAAGCCAGTCTGGCCTGACATAACGCGCGCTCGTGTGTGTGTGTGTGTGTGTGTGTGTGTGTGTGTTTGTGTGTGCGTGCATGTGTGTTTGTACACGTGCGTGTGCTTGTGTTTTCTAGAGACTGAACTCAGGGTCTCATATATGCTATGTAAGCATTTTAGTGCTGAGCTGTATACCATACCTATTTTTGCTTTTTGTTTTGAGATGAGGTCTCACTAAATTGCCCAAGCCTTGAATTTACTTTGTAGTCCAAAGAGACCTTGAACTTCCTGAATAGGCCTATGATTATAGGCCTATGTGAACATAGATGCTGAGCTCCTGTCTTTAAAAACAAACAAACAAAAAATTGACTATGTTTCTCTGTGCCTATTAAATCTGAATCCTGGTTGAGTAATCTGAGACAGACATATTTACAAGACTTTTACCTTGCATTCATGCCATTGTGACTGCTGCCTATCATGTGCAGGTGAGGAGTTTTCATTTGGTCTGTCCACTTCTTTGTCAGGGTGGAACTTGAAGCTTGTACCCTGTGAAGGGTATTCTTTTTTGTGTGTTCAGGACATCTATGTGAGTCAGCTTTTGTCTATGTGACAGATACTTGAGATAGTCGGATTACTACATGCAAAGGTTTATTGTGTCAGATTTCTGGCCATAGCTTTTTGGCCCTTTTGCCTGGAGCTTGTGATGGCTCCGAACCTCATAGACAGAGCAGGTGGCAGCAGAGGCCCGCTCATACTCATTCATGCCTTTGGGGTGTAGACTGAGGAGAAGAGAGAGAGGAGGGTCCAAAGGCCCAGCATCTCCTTCAAGGGCAGCACTCCCAATGGCCCTCCTTCATTCCACAGGATATGCTGTACAGAGTCCACTACTTCCTGATTCCAGCATGGAATACTGACCAAAGCTGTAGCATAGAGGGCTTGGGGAAGTGTTCACGATACAGCATTGTCAACTCCCGTCCTTATGAGTGAGTGCACACGAGGAGCACCACTCCTCATAGCCCGTGCACTCCAGAGTGAGCAAATGCAGCCACTTCACTGACTGAAATATCTCCCCAGTAGTGATGATGCAGGATTCATTTTACTGATCTTTTTACATTTCATCATCTAAAATGACCCTATTTTAAAACACACACACACACACACACACACACACACACACACACACACACACACACACACACACTATAGAAAAAGACCAGAAAGGTACTGTCAGAGTATTTTGAGAGCTATTTCCCTTTTCATGCTGCTTACCTTAAAGCCAAGCCCAGTGGTGCATACATGTCCTTCAGGAGGCTAAGTCAGAACTGTAGTAAGACCTGTCTCAAAAGAATTCTGTTCAGATCTGAGTAATATGTCCCGTCCTCGGCCCCTCCCTTGCTAATCGTGGAATATTCATTCTCAATTCATTCTCATACCTCCCCCTTCTCTCTTAGCTTTTGAGGGAACTGAAGCACCCTAATGTGATCGCCTTGCAGAAGGTGTTCCTTTCTCACAGCGACAGGAAGGTGTGGCTACTGTTTGACTATGCAGAACACGACCTGTGGGTAAGTTTATAAAGTCCTCTGTCTAGAGGATTATTTTATATAGATAAGGGACAAGTATGCAAGCAGAATGTACTGCTGATGCACTGAAAAGAAAGCCTACTATAAGTCACAGTTCAGAGCAACTGTAGTAAATGTTGGTTTGAAAAATGGGTACTTAGCGGATATTTATTGAAATGATGACATGTGTAATAGTGAGAAGTAAGAGATTCCTCTCGTGCTCAGCTAGTGACAGGTAATGTGTGTGGTAACCATTAGTTCCTGTCGTGAAGTGCACACACATTTAATCAAGTATATATTTGTGAGTAGTTGTTAAGTTCAAGTTGATTTCTTACTATATTTTGGTATTTAAAATTGGGTCTACCAAGTAGAAGTATGTTTATAGTTTTTAGAAAGCCTTATCAATACATTAAAAAAGCCAGTTCCTAACTAGAGCATTTTAAACATTTTTGTCCCTAAAACTACCAAAAAAATAACAAACCAAATTTGACAGTTAAACTATGGATAAATTTGGTTCCATATGTTGTAGTTTGCCTTCTATATGAAAGAAAAGATCTGAATAAGAATAACTTTGACAGCCTTTATAAGGTCTTGAGTGAGCTTTGAAAGTTCATGAGAGAACCAATTACTGTGAGTTGTCTCTGATCTCTACGTGTGCTTGGTGTCCATGCATGTGTGCACACAAAGGAAAACATACACATTTACACACACATATCTACACATGTGCGCATACATAAAACACAAATAAAATATAATAATTTTTTTAAAAAATATTTTGTTCATCATGGTAATGCATACTTGAATCCAAGCACTTAGATGTGGAAGTAGGAGAATCAAGAATTAAAGGTTATCCTTGAATATATATAATGAGTTTGAAGTTACCCTGGGCTAACCTGAGGTCCTATTCCAAAACAAAAGAGTTTTCTTCATTTTTCTTATTGCTCCTTTGTTTCTACAAAGCTTACTGGATAATGTACATAGCTCGCTTTAAATAGGAGTGTAGGAGGGCTGGTGCTGTGGCTCAGAGTGGTTCGGAGTATTGGCTGTTCTTCAGAGGACCCGAGTGAGGTCGAAGTGCAGCTGGAGACTAGGATTTAGACGTGACCTGTAGCATTTTCCTCCCTTGCATGAAGGTATAAGTGTGAAAAATGTGCTGTGGTTGCTACTTTCCTTTGTACTGCTCTTCATATACTGCTCGTCATATACTGCTCTTCATATACTGCTCTTCATATACTGCTCTTCATATACTGCTCTAGGGGCACCTGGGCCTCGAGGAGGCAGTAAGTACATAGATCCTTATTGTTAGTGATGTTATCTAGACATACTCAGTCTTTATAGAACAGTTTGCCACCCTTCCTCCCACCCACACAGAACACCAACAGTGTTCTTAGACAGGCATAGGAATATCTGCCCCCTTTTACCATTTAGAAGGGATTTAGTGAGAATTCTTAATGTTTTCAGTAAATCTGATTATAGACCCATATTAACGTGGTCACATTCATCCCAGAATACATTCTTTGGACAACCTTTTTATTCAGAAATTTTTGTGTCACTAACTTTAAAAGGTAAGTGTAAAATACAGAGCATTTATTTCAGTTTTGATTATGGTGGGGTTTTGGTGGAGATATGAGCAGAATATGTTATTATAGTATGTTTTATTTTCTAATCCTTAGCATATTATTAAGTTTCACCGTGCATCAAAAGCAAATAAAAAGCCCATGCAGTTGCCGAGATCCATGGTTAAATCGCTGCTGTACCAGATTCTCGATGGTATCCATTACCTCCACGCCAACTGGGTGCTCCACAGGGACCTGGTAAGCACTGCGCTTTAATTCACCGACACATTGTTTTCTATCTTAAATTTAACAAAATCATTCATTTTGGTACAATTATAATAGAGCATTAGCTAAGAAAAAATTGTAAGTACATGCAAAAGGAGGGATAAAAAGTCACTTATAACCTACAGTCAAAACACCAGGAGCTGATGCAGTGACGGCTCCTGTCTGTAATCTCAGCACTGGAGAAACTGAGGTAGGAGGATTGCCATGAGTTCAAGGATAGCCTAGGCAAACAGTGAAGATGTCTTCCCCTACCCCTTAGTCCTTCTCTGCCTGCCTGCCCTCCGTTCCTCCCTCCCTCCCTCCCTCCCTCCCTCCCTCCCTCCCTCCCTCCCTCCCTCCCTCCCCTTTTATCCCCTACAGAGTGCAGTAGTGCACACCTGCAACCCCAGTACTCAGACAGTAAGATAGTTTACCACCAGCCTGAGCTACATAGCAAGACCCTGTCTCAAATAATCAAACACCATACAAACTAGATTAATCTTAGACATCTGGTCTCTATTATTTCATTAAATCAATACATGGCTGTAAACTGTCAGTGTGATTTTTAACATTAGTAGTGTATAATTTTAATGTTCAGTAATTACGTAAAGCTGGTAGATTTCACTCCAACTTGTTCTTTATCTAAAAGCACTAATAATGGAAGTTGAGTTCTAATTTTTCATCCCCTTAGGCTTAAATAATATTACCTCTGGTGAAAAGAATGTTGTTATCAATATTACTTAATATTAAATAAATGCATTTAATAGCTAGAACATATTTATTAGGCAAATTAGCCACAATGCAAATGTTTGGTCTTATATTTTAATTTGGTATATGTATAATAAACATTTACTAATAATCAACTTACATGCTAAGTACTCACCTTGATTTGCAGGTTAGATTGTCAGTTTTTTATTTATTACAAACACAGCGGTATAAGACAGCCACAGTCCTCATGCCATTATTGTTGCAGGTATTATCTTCCCCATAGGATTTCATACTACTTTATTTTCAGACTTTTGTGAATTTGAGATCCAGAAATGATAGGGTTAGTGTAGGTAGGTTGTAGCTGTCTTAGCTGAGGAGAGCTATTTGCTGCAGAAAAGAATGGATACATGAAGAGAAGGTAATTAGTATCCCTTGGCACCTTGTCAGTCAGACACCTCCTGCTGTGGCATTGCAGTTGAATTATAACCGAATGGTAGTAACCACAAATCAGTCATTCATTTAACATTTTTAAGAATCATAAGGATCTTTAAGTTTCCTAGTGTTCCAGTTCTGTATTTTCCATGTGTATATCACCACATTTGAGATTGTTCTGGAATGACCACATGGGGAGAGCTTAGATCTCTATTTTCAAGGTTCCAGTCACATTTGAATCATTGGAGGGAATCTCTTATTCAGGGTTGGTTCGAGTGTTTTCCTCTTGGTTTAGAGTTACTGTTTTGTTCTAAGTAGAATGGTTTTCTGACAGTCTGTGAACATTGATTGGTATGACCAGGACTCTGCTTTTCTTCTTCATTTGCTGTCTGTCTTCAGTGTCCTCTCTCTTAGTTATGGCACCAGCCTTCTTAGCATCCAGACTTTTGACCTATTTTGTAGCTTGCATCGAGAACATACCATTGTCATGTTTATATTCTCTCTTCTCCGCACCTGTTTTTATCCCCTGTGTCCCCTTCCTTGTTGAGGCCTTCTATCATGGTCCTGCTTCTACATGTGTCTCCTCCATTAACTCCTTTAACAGTCTTTTCCTTCTAGTCCATAGAGACCTAGTGACCGTGTATTAGCCTCCAGGAATTTTGGAATAAGTAAAGTTTCAGGATCTTACTAAATCTAGCTCTCATGACGTCAGACCCTCCCTTGACCCCATTCCTCTCTGCTTGTCTTCTGCTGTTGGTTATCCTTACATTGTCCTGAGATGTCTTGCCTTAATGGCTTACGTGTCCTTGTCTTCTTATTCTTGTCCCTGTCTCTACATACTCGGGTGTACTTGTCTTTTAAGGCTCTGCAGAAATATTTAAAGCTTGGAGCTAGAGATGGTTCAGTAGTTAAGCACTGGATGCTCTTGCCAAGGACATGGGTTTGATTCTAAGCACTCACATGGCAGTTCCAGGGGATCTGATGCTGTCTCCTGGCGTCCATGGGCACCAAGCTTGCACAGGATACACAGGCACACTTGCAGAAGAAAGCATGAGTACATGTAATAAAACAAAATAAGCTTTAAAAAAAGTAAAGCTTATTTTCATAATCCATCTCAATTTTGAGATGAAATAATCTTTGTTATTGTTATATTTCCTGTTTGTTCTTTTATGATACTTGTTTATATCATACAGATGTCTTAGATCAGTGGTTCTAAACCTGTGGGTTACAACCCCTTTTGGGGTTGAATACCCTTTCACAGGAGTCGCACGAGACCATCACAAAACATATTTACATTATAATTCATAACAATAGCAAAATTATAGTTATGAAGTAGTTATAGAAATGATTTTATGGTTGGGGTCACCACAACATGAGGAACTGTATTAAAGAGTTACAGCGTTAGGAAGGTTGAGAACCACTTTCTTAGATCATCTCCCAGACTGTAACTTTTTTTAGAAGGCAGGGTTTTAATCCTTATATACAGAAAATATTGTAGAAATAGCAGAATTTGAAACACTGTCCTCCATGAACTTTTATTATTTGTGTGTGCGCGCGGGCGCGTGCGTGTGCACGTGTGTAAGACAGAGAAATGGGAATGATAGAGACGCACCTGCGTCGGAGGCCCTCTCAAGGAGGCAAGGACTAAGAGGAGAAGCATGAGTACCTGGGTACCAGCAGTTTTAATGAAGGGAATAGGATGGTAGGTCCTCAGAGGTGCAGACTCCGTGCTGCTATTCAAGCCAACAAAAGCTACTGTGTGTGATGCGGGAGGAGATGATGCTTTGGGGAGGAGGTAGAACTTGACTTGGTCTTTGACACAGAATTTAAAACCTTAGGGGAGAAATGCTGGTTATAAATATTCAAATCAGAAACTGTAAGGTGAAAAGGCACTTGTATTATCTCAGAAAGGACATGAGTTCTGCTGGGCTCAAATAGGAATAAATGGTGTAGTGTAAAGAAAACTAAAAGTATTTGGGTTGTAGCTGGTTCTGTAGTTTGGAGGGTTGGTTTGTTTTAAGATCCTGAAACTTTGTGATCAAAAGAATGGATTCCTCACTGATTTCAAAATGTCTTTTTGTCCATAGGGTGAGAATAGGGCTTAAACATATTATGAGAGAAGTTCTGACCTATCCCAGTGCTTGTTTGTATTTTGTCCACATGGCTACTGTAACTTTGCACCGTTTGTAAGTAATCCTAATACACTTGAGTGCAGTCTCCCCAGTCCTTCCCACTGGCTAGGAGCCTCGTATCTGGACCACACTTTCCTGCTTCTGCCCAAGTGTTTTCAGGAATGGAGTGTTTAACCCGTACATTTGCATTGTCATCAGTGGGGAGATGTGAAGTAGCTAACATAAGAGTGTGTTATTAAAAGGAGATAGGGATGTTTGAAATTTATTGTAGTGGGCTGAAGACCAGAGCTGTCGTATGAGGCCCTGGAAGGCTGTTAACTGCTTCGTTCCAGATTGCTTGAGACCGTGTGTGAGTCACAACTGTGTCTCTGTATTCACTGTCTCTAGCTGATTATTTCAGAAACCTGGAAAACCATGCAGTATTAGAAAAAGTATAAATGTGCAGATTGATAATACACTGAAAGGAGACTGAGAGCAGCTAAGAGCTAAGATTCTAGAGTTCCATACAGATTCATTAATCCTCAAAATGATTTTTAACTGTTTTCTTTCATGTCTGGAACAATATTTCAGTTATATGATTTAGATCCTAGAATGTAGTACAAAAGCAGAGAATTTTAAAGCCACTAAAAAGATTATTCAAATTGAAGAATTGGCTTTAAAAGGAAAGGAGAAAGAGCTAAATGTATTTCTCTTGGCTGAGAGACAGTGAAGGGGAGACATAAGTCTATAAATATTTGAATCTGTAAACAGAGAGAGTGCTGTGTTTTAATTTTATAGAGGATGCAGCGCGGAGTAAGATGCTGAGGTGCAGGATGTCTCGTGATCGTGGGACTGCTGCTCCAGCCGTGGAGGAACGCCAGCACGTAGCTGGCAGCCTCTTTACAGCGGTGAGCTTCCCAGAGCAGAGTTCATGCCTCACTGATTGTGTCCTGCTGCTGTCTTACTGTGTGTGCTTGTAAGGCACCTGAGAGGAGTGTCTGCAGAGCACAGGACACTGTTCTTCAGCAGACAGAGGCATGCTGGCTGAGTGGTGGACTGAGTAGGTCCACTGATGGTGAGTTTCAGACCATTGCTGCTGGTCAGCGGCATGTTTGACCTACAGTTAGACTGTCTTTCCTCTCTCATATCCCAGGACCCAGCACCTGCTCAGCTCTCGGTCTTACTGAGTGAAGACGGAGCGAAGGCTCGGGCCTGTCCTGCCTCTTCTCTGCTAGAGTAGTTGGGGAAATTCTGTTCTACAAGTCTAACTTACATTCTCAGTAGTTGTTTTGTTTTTTGTTTTTTTATTATTAGTGAGCTGAATTTGTATTTGTTTAAAAGTCCAAAGGAGAGGGTCGAGAGATAGCTCATGGCAAGTGTCTTTGCTGCACTTGCAGAGGACTGGGCTGAGTTCCTAGCACCCAAATGGCTGCTCCCAACCATTTTTAATTCACGTTCCAGGAGAGCTACACCTTTTCTGGTGCCTTGGGCCACACATATACATACACACACACACACACACACACACACACACAGAGAGAGAGATAAAACATGCGTACAGATAAAAAAAAATGAATCTTTTTAAATAAAAAGTAGAAGATAGAAGTTTCTTAGTTAGCCATTAGGCCTCCATTCCCTTCCCTGTACGTGGCGGTCACAGAGTTTATTCAGTTGACTCGTTACCTTAATACCGAGCTTCTAAATCACTCCCACTGGCCCTTCTCGTGCCGCTGCCTCTGGACA